GGTAAGGCCCAGGGTGTGAAAATCTCATCTCTACAACATTGGCCCCATTACTGAGCCTCCCTTTGCCTCAAGTTCACCATACCAGGTTATTTGGAGCTTCTCATGAGATGGCTGAGATAACGCACATAAGGTGTAGAACTGACTCCATGAAAGCCAGTCTGTCTTATCCTCTCGGAAGTTATGGGTATAGACAGAGAAACCCTGTTTCTAGGCAAAGCTCCAGGCCATTGGCATCCTCTCCCAAGAGAAGCAAACCATCAACGGAACGTCAACGATGTTATAAAACGACTCAGTATCGTTTTAATAAATATATTCCTGTTAGGTCATCTAAGTTTTCAATTATGTCCAAGGAACATAAAACACAATTCAATATATACAAGTAAATGGGTTTCATATCCTTCATAAATAGCTTGACCACCAAACATGTACGCACGTCTCCATCCTTTCTTTCAAATAAGCAGAGAGATAGAATTAGGAGGAAAAAAGGACAATTATTTTCTCATCTATAAAATCATCTATAAAATCAGGTGGGGACAGGTGAACAATGAGAGCTGGCCTCAAAACTACCCGATTCCAAGAAGCACAGAATGCGGGAAATAGAATGACAGATGTTTACTGACCAGAAGACACAGAGTCAGACGGATAAATGCACTCAAATGTTTTAATGGTATGACTGTACAGTGGCTCCTCGGTTTCGAATGAAACGTTCGAAAACTGAGGCATCAACAACCGACAGCTGGGCCTCAGGATCTTGCCCTCAGCGGAAGCCACGTGGCATGTTTGACTTCCGAGGCGTGTTCGAAAACTGAGGCATTTACTTCCAAGTTTATGGCGCTCGTAAGCCGAAATGTTCGTCAACGGAGACATTAGAAAACGGAGGTACCACTGTACAATGCTGCTGCCATTAAACATATTACTGGTAACAACATTTATAGTTACATTGGTTTTGCAAACTCTGAGCATAGGGAGAGGGTCTCAGCACTCATTCCCTAGGAAAAGCTGATTTGGGGCTGCATGTCACCCCGTGCTCCTGTGGATACGCGGTGAAGGTGGGTGCAGTAATGCCCCCATTCCTTGGTTATCTGGGATGTGTGTTTTATCTTATTACAGATATAATCCATAAACATTAATGAAACAAATATGAAACTTTTTAGATATGCCTCTAATAGAAATTGGATTTGAAATCAGCATATCGAGTCTCAAGTTTATCCTTTCCTAGCAACTGGCACCTGTTCATCTTCATCACAGCAGTGACCGTTTACAATGAAGATTCCCAGGGGCCCCACCTCAAGTCTACTGAATTAGAGTCTCTGTGCCGGGGGTCTGGGAACCCACATTTTAGTAAGTTTCCCGGGCTGATTCTTATCCTTATTAAACTGCGAGGCACTTGACCTATCACAGGATAGGTTAACTATAGTGTGAGGTATGCTGTGTGTGTGACAAAACACATTAAAATGAGTCCTAAGGACAAGGCTTTGTGTATAGATGCACATCATGTGGAAATTTACACACCCACACAAGGTTGGCAGGGGAAGGGAAGCAACACTTACTAATTGCCTACTATAGTATAGATATTGACTAAATTACAGTATATTAATCGATCTTCAAAATAATCCTATTTGAGTTATGGACGGAAAAAGTTAGGCTGAGACAGAGAGTAACTTTTCTAGAGTCACAAGCCTGGAATATGGCCCAGCGTGGTTGTGAAACTAGATTTATCTGACCCCAGTCTCCTCATTCCAATGTATTAAGCTCATGTGCCTATGAAAACGCACACGCGCGCGCGCACACGCACTCACGTCATAAGATAGACATATGGTAAAAAGGCAAAGCAATTAAATTATTTTTAGCAACCTTTTGCATCAACAGACATGTAGTTTTTAAAGAATTTACAATATCAACGAATATCCTTTGGTCCATCTGCTGACAATGGAATAAAGGATATGACTACCCTCAAAACCACATTTAACAGCCCGAATTTTAGTAATGAGAAGTGTATTTTGAGGCTTGCTAGGGTCAAATTTAATAGTGATTCTTGATTTGCACAAGCTACAAATTTTTGCAAATGAAACGTCTTGATATTCATTCTGTAAGTTGTATTGTCTTATAAAGGAAAGCACCAGCAAACGTGTGATCTAGCACTTGTCAATCCAATGACCATGCTGGGCCTCTCCCTCCAGCATCTGACACTCCAGGTCCCCTCCACTGGGAAACCCCCTTCTGCTGGCTTCTGGAGTCCTGTTCTCTTGTGGCTCTTCCTTCCTCTATTGCCAAAATTCTCTCTAGATCCTCCCTACATCCCTCTTTCCTCATAGGGCTCCACCCTCAACCTCTGCCTCCATATATTCTCTTTCTAAAAAATCTCTTCCCCCACCTCTTGACTTATTTATATCCCACGGACTCCCAAACTAGCCCTGGCCTTCCTCTGGAGCACAAAGCCCCCATCTGCTAGGAGGACACCATACTTCAACACTTCAAGTTCAGCACCTCTAAAACACAGCCCCTCACCTCCTTCCAAGCTCCTTTCATGGACACCACTGCCCTGGAAATCTGCATCGGCGCTAGGGGCTCCTTGTCCACTGAGATGCCAGATTGTGTCCTTTGCATCTGTTCCTTTCCCGTTTCACGGCTATCACCCATCTCAGGCCTTCCCCCATCCTTTTCCTTGGTGGACTGTGGGAGCCCTCTAACCAACCTCCCTGTCTCTGATTTCTGCCCTGCCTTTCCTCCCGATCTCCCCCGCTACCACAGGAGCACACTCCTAATGTGCAGCCATGAGACTCCGCTGCCCAAATGTCTTCAATGTCTCCTACTGCTTAATACAGTCGTATTTCCCAGCTTGGCATTCAAGACCAGTAACATTCGGCACCAAACGCAGTCCAGTTTTATTTCCCACTAGATGCCTGTGTAGACCAGTTCTAATTCAGCTGGGCTTGCTACCTTTCCCTGAATGTGCTCCATGCTTTCCTGTTTTCCTGCTACTTCTCCTATCTCACATGCCTCCTCCTCATCTCTATGATGGAAACTCCACATCCTTCAAGGACTTGCTTAAATGCTTTTTCTCAAAAAAGAGTCCCCTGACTCCTAGAGCAAAAGGGGACCTCTTTCTTTTCAAATTACCAAAATATCTTTTTTTCTGGGCATTTACCACACAATTATTTTTGTGTATTTTATTTCCTTGCCTACAAAACAGGGTCTGAGAAGGAAGGAACCAGATCTTTCTGCTGCTGAATCCTCAGTTCTCTCTAGCACAGTGTCACACTCATAGTAGTTACCCAATAAAGATTTGCTGCCTAACATGTATAGGACTCCTAAAAGTTTGCAAAGCACATTTCCATTCAACATCTCATTTGTTCTATTTGGAGCTTAAGTATATTACAAGTAGCATTCAAGACATACAATCTGATTTCTGTTGCTTAATGCAATTATTGGCTCTATCTCTAACTTTGTACCTTTAAATGAAATCTCTCTTAAATTGCTTTACTTTAAACACCCACAGTGCTGTGTGGCCTCCAAAGCTTAAAAAAGAGCATTCTGAGTCAAAGAAAGCCCACTTGCCAAACTGGTTTTTCTCTCTGCCTACAGGTTAAGGGTACAAATGAAAGGCCTCTATAAGCAGATGACAGTAACGGCAAAAGCAAAATTTAAAAGAGAAGAAATTCCTTTCTGAAGATTTTAAGATTAAAAAAAAAAAGATTTTCCTGTATATCCAGTTGGAATCCTATTTATGGGTCAGCCTCCAATAAACATCCTTGGAGCTGGTATTCCAGCATGTTAACAATAAAAATCTCTTAACTGTTGAACGATGGGTCCTTGCTAAGATACTGAACGTGACTAAGATCATGACGGTAAAAACATGGTGCCCTGTTTGGTCTTGACTACCCAAGCGCCTTGGAGGAGCTCGATAAACATTTGATGAACGAACAAATATATGAATGAATTCAGAGGAGGTCTTCCTATTGTTTGTGAATTGAAAGTATGTTTTCATAGATGAATGGAAGGATATGTTACATGTGATAAAAGGGGGGAAAGTGCATTGAGGGGCAAGAACTCTGATATGTCAACTCTTCCTGTGACAGACCCCACTCTGGCTGCTGGAGAAGCAGGTGAAGGAGGGGTGACTGTCAAGCACTGACTACACATCTTTGGAGTTTAGGCTGCAAGCTCCTCCAGGGCAAGCAAGCGCTTTACCTTGCACTCTGTGGCCCTACCACCGTGCTCTGCATCTGGAACGTGCACCATAAATGCAGTACGAGGCAAAGGCCCTCACGAGCTGCCTATGCATTTCTGCATGTCAATCCTTCACATCTAGTCTTCCCTACCCCATAGGAATAAATAAAAATACAACACTTAATCCCATAACACACTGCCTTACTACACACACACGCACGCACGCACGCACACACATGCTTGATAAGTGGTAGTTCCCATCATCATCTGGGGCTTCGTATATGCCTCGAAGGTAGCATTTAATGGGCTGGGCTGTCAGGACCTGTCAGTACAAATTGCAAGTGTTCTGGGGGTGGGCTCTTCCCGCTTCTATTCTCGGTGCCTAGCACGGTGCTCACCCCACACCAGACCCTGAGGTTAGTTGATGACTAAGCAATCCAGATCCAGGTTCCAGGCCTGCCTCTATCCCAGCCCACTTGGTCACCCTGAAGAGGCATTTAAACTCTCTGGGCCACAGCGATGTCTGTCGGTCTTTCCAGCCTGGAGAAGCTAGCGATCTATAAAGAGACTTCTAGAAGCTCCCGTGACAGTCACTGGCAGAACTGAAACGAGAAACCAGCTTCCTGGAGCCCTGTTTGCTTAGTTCACCCTTCATCACCAAGGCGTCTCACACATATCTCCTTAATAACAGTTAGCTTAAATATCATTGTCACTTTGTAACACCCAAACCTGGTGGATCGCTAGCCCAGACCATATGCCCCTTGGGAGCCCTTCAGTCCCTTAGAAAAAAATTTCCTCTTTAGGCTAAGGAGACATGCAAATTTAGTTACCTCAGGTAGAACAGACCAGCCTTAGCAAAGTTAGTTTCTCCTGCTTTGGAAGAAATCACTTGGAAATCCTTGGTTCTGAGTCCTCCATCTCTTCCACATCAAGATCTAAAAAAGAAAAAAAAAGGAAAGAAAAGCACAGTGCCTCAAGACTAGCTGCCAGGATTTGAGGTTTCAGCAATAACAGTAATTACAATTAGCATGTACACTGAACACCTACTATATACGTCAAGCACTGAGCAAAGTGATTGACATATATGACCTCATATAGTCTTCATAATACTCCTCAAATATAGGAGACATCCTCCCACTTTACAGCTATACTAAAAGAGATTCTGAGAGGTCACGGAATATGCTCAAGGTCACACAACTAGGTTATGTTGGATCTGGGGGGTAAACCCAGGTTCAACTGATCCCAAAGCCTGCGTTATTAACCTGTAAGTCAGGGTTTTAAAAACTTTTTGGCAGTGACCACAATTTAAAAAAATTATATAAACAAATCCCCAAGTCTCAAAACAATGCTTACTCTTACCGTGTGCAACGCACTCTGCTATCTCCTATTTTATTCGATTCTTTTCTATACTGTATTGTACATTCTATATCTTTTTACAAATTCCAGTAGTAACCCACTAAACTGATTTCACAATCTTCTCTAATGGGTCCCTACTCCATTGGGAAAACCCTACCCTCAGATACAGCACCTCACTGGAAGTTTCTCTGAAACCACGCACTAGATCCTTCTGTTCTTTCCAACCAGGAGAACCTGACGAAGTGGTTGAGCTTTCCAACGAGGAGAAAAGTCTTTAACCGTTATACCAGGTATAAGGCACCATAACGCCGATCTACAACGAATCCTTCAAAGCGATAGTCAATCAGCGCCGAAGTCCGGAATGGAATTAATCACTTACCTATAGCAGCGCTGGAGTTATAAAGTGGAATCGCAGATGGACCAAAACCTAAGGCGATTATTCCACTCCCTGCAAAGGAGTGGCTAACAGCGCGCGGCTGCGCTGCACCCACCGGGCGGCCCCGAGCGGGCTGCAGAAGCGCGGGGCTGGGCTGCGGCCC